CACAATGATGAGCATACATACTTTAACAACTAATTACTAGTAGCCAGCCATGTTAGATAGGTTAAAGCTAACTGAGCAATGGGGTTCAAAAGAATTAGTTTGAACTTTGAAGTCATCTGGAAACAGAACCATTCACAATACCTTGAAGAAGTTATAATATAGAAAGAGAATCATTCTTTTACTGATGTATATGGACAGACTTATCAGCGTCGCAAGAAGGTCACGGGTCGTGAAGTGCACCACAAGATTGAAGATGAATTGGTTTTGTATAATTATTTAATATGCTTTGGATTTCCATCTAGAGCCAAAGACTCACAATTTTCTGGCTTGGGAATATGATGGAATAAAGCAAAATGGCTCACTAAACTGTCTGCGCTTCTTTGTTATGAAGCAGCAATCAATCCATGTAATTTTTTACACGATTTTTACTATGGGTCATCCCGAAACAGTCTCTTTTTGATTTAGTACAGGGATAAGACTACATACATCCGACCCCCCTTACCCCACCGTAGGCATGGTTTAAAAAGGCGTTTACAGAGTGCGCCTCAAGTTGAGGTGTATAGAGAAGGCATCAGGGCTTAGGTTTTTATCGCATGTCAAAAGGCTTACGCCTCAACTTTTGAGGCGTGCCTTAAGGCGTTTTTTGAGGCGTGGGTTCCTTAGTTTCTACTCCCTCCGTCCCATTGGACTTTGCCAACTTTGTCATTTTGGTTGTCCCAAAAAACTTTGCCACTTTCCTATTAAAGTAACTAATTTGTGGTTCTGCACATTTCTCTCTCCTCTGCACAAATCTCAACCACACAGTTTTTACTATTCTTATTTCTCACCAACTTTGCACTTGGCAAAGTCCACCGGGATGGAGGTAGTATATTTTTAATAGACTGTGACTTAAGAAATCCCTGGATTAATTTAAGTAGTATTTAATAAAAGACCCATACATGAAACATGTATCCATTGTCCAAACTAAACCCCTAACAAGTCTTTTAATCGGCCGTGACTTAAGAAATTCCTGGATTAATTCTCTTATCTTCTCCCTCTCTCCTCTTTCTTCTTGTACTAAGTTGTTGGTCATCTTTTCCTAGAACTGGGCAAGGTTTGACAAGATGAAAGATGGAATCCTTAAATTAAGTTCCCTAACCAATGATGAGGAAAATATTTTGGTTGATTATTTGTCATCTGATGATTAATGGCTTGTGTTTAAACTTGTGTTTGTGTGTGATACTTTTTGGACTTATAATCATCTATTTCTTTAGATTTTTATTATTAGTTTTAACTATTATATGTTTCATCTATTGGTATATTTTGAGGCCTATGCCTCAATACACCTGGAGGCTTACGCCTTGCCTCTCCTCCAGAACAAACCGCCTCGATACCCGAACCCGCCTTTTTAAACCTTGACCATAGGTGGGAGCCTTTGCGGCACTGGGGTAATGATGATGATTTAATATGCTCATTTTTGGAGAACTAAGCTGTCTTGAGCAGGAAGTTTGGATTTTTCCTCTGACCATCATACTTTCACAATCTTATCTTCCTCCCAGCTCTGATAGACCTTGGATAGTTAAATCAAATTATGCATGTTGGCCTTTAACACATAAAAAAAAACTGGCAACTGTGTTACACAAGAGCTGTGTTAAGTTGTTAACTGTTAACTTTTAAAACATATAAGTTTAATAGTGATGGTTATATTACATTGCAGATCCAAGGGAACGCAACTAAACTGTCTGTCAGAGAAGGGAACAGCTTCTTCAAATTCACTTGTAGTTAGAAAGATGGTGGTGTTGGTTGTGACTTTGGAGATAATGTAAGAAAGGCATGGACTAACAAAACGATAGGTTTTAAAACTGTTCAATGTTCATCTGTCTTTCCAAGTCTTTTAATAGTTTTTTTTATTAATCATCCAGGTGTTGGTTTTCGCCTCTTACACAGGTTCGATGACGGGAGAGTAACTTCCTCTCGTCCATAAGGAGTAAAGTACATGAATGTCGCTTCTATTTTGACAAAGGATGGGCGAAATTGGAACGAAACTAGAATTCGAGAGTTATTCAATGCCACAGATTCAAAGAAGATTCTAAGTTTACCAAAAAGTTTGAGACCAGTTAAAGATGGTGTATTGGTGTCTGATATGTGGGCTACTACTCTCCCGTCATCGAACCTGATGGCCAAGAGGAAGTTACTCAGTTCAGAGTGCTGCAAAATTCATGTAGCCATATTTCTAGAATTGTACTTAATTTCGAATAAACAACAGCAAAAAATTTAAGTAGAGAAGGTAATGCTCACAACGGCGGTGGATTCTTCATCGTTATCCAGACTCTCCTCGGTGATATCACCGCCTCCTCGGTCCACATCGTCACTAGCTCCGCCGAGTCCCTCCCCGGCATTGAGGTCGTCAAGTGGGCTCTGGATGTAGGAGACAGCGTCCGGCCTCAGGTCGTAGTGCTGCACCGGAACCCTAGTTCCCATCTACAGCAATCTGAACTTCGGACACCTTGAGTGAGCTAAGAGGGTGAGGAGAGGCCTTTTCTCATAGAAAGAAGATGAAAGTCAATGGTAACGGATATACAGACCGATATACGCCCACAAACCCGAGCCTGAGGTTGAGGGGGTTACTTTACTACCAAATAAGTGAGTTTTTTTTATGGGGGTGCAATTTATGGGGTCAACATTTTTGACATTTTTGATTGAAATGTATTTGTAATTTATGATCTTCTCTTTGAGAGTGTCACGGTAAGAGTCATCATGGAATTAGAGGTGCTTGCCAAATTAGTGAGCTTATGACTTTGTTAAATGGTTAATCAACCCACTTTAATCTTTTCTCACCACAATTAAAAAGTGCTCGGAATAATTACATAAAAAAGTATTTGTATATTTTTTTACCTTAGAAATGTAAGACACACTATTTTTTAAATAAGTGTGTATGCTTAAGACTTTTTTGAACAGAAAAATTGCTATTTTCTTTTACTCCAGGGCATCTGGGGAGGAGGCCTGGGGGGCCTAGAATAAACTGGGCTGAAATACACTTCATTGAATTTCGAACCCGAGATCTCTCATTAGGGAGAGTGAGTCGGCGACCAGCTAAGCTGAACCGCTTCCTCAAACTGCTAATATTAATATAATTAGGATTCGAATCGTTACAATAAACTCAAAGAGACCAACAACAACACGAGTCGAGGCACACAATTTTGTCCGAAAGTCTTATTCAATTTTTTTCTAACATTCTTAACTTATTATAGTATATGCCCATGTTAATGCCAACATCCTTCATTGGGATGAGACTTGAACATGCGATCTCCTCTTCAAATATTTTTTAAAATTATAAAAATGTCTGAATATACAATATCATATTAAAGATAAATATTTTATATTTATGTTGTTTGAATAATTTTACCTATTTTTGTTACAGATCACTTTTCACTTAATTATATCTATATTGTTCAAGTTATTTTAGAGGAATGTGTTCTTTTTTAATACATGTAATGTTGAACTGCTTAAATATACTAATACGGAGTAATAATTATTGTTCAATCACTACAAAAAATGAGGGGGGTTGTCACGGATTTTGTCATGGCCCGTAGTGTAAAAAATCCGTGGGAAAAAAATTGTCGCGAATTTTGTCACAACCTTCATCCGTGACAAACGAGGCGTGACAAAAATTTTGTCACGGAAACGGATCAGTGACAAGCTTTGTCACGACTTTGTCACGGACAGAATCTGTGACAACATTGTCACTGGAGTATTGTCCTGGTTCTCATTTGTCACGGATTTATCCGTGACATTTTTTTTAATTTTCACTAACGGGCTGGGCGGAGAATAAGAAATTTGAAATATTCATTTTGTCACAGATAGAATCTGTGACAACTATTTATATTTTTTTTTAATTAGGAAAAAAAATTAATTTTAAAATTTTCGAACAGAGAAGAGTGGGAATGGTTTTTTCAAATTTGTCATGGACACAATCCGTGACAAACGTTTTATATTTTTTTTAAAAAGTTAAAAATTACAAAACTGTAAGTCTGAATTTTTTTTAAAACGTTAGCCACGAAACGTTTCCGTGACAAACATTTTATATTAAAAAAAAAAAATTAAAAATAAAATTGATGTAGAATCATTATAATAATTAAATAGAAAACAAATTCATACAATCACAGTAATTTAATAAAAATTCAAAGATAAATTCAACTAGGTACTATTATAAGTTCGGGAGATTTCTGGGATACAAATAGTCATCATAATCAAACAAGACATCATCATCATTAGGCTGTTCGGGCTCTTCAGGTCGCATGCCACCTCGTTTGCCTCCTCGATCGGTTGCCTCCGCGGCGGCCTTCGCCTCCGGGTGTCTGAAATGGTTGGTCATAATACTTATATGGAAAAAAAACTCATTCAAGACACGTTTATCCTGGGGCTAGAATGAAAACCCAGATTGCCCATGAAAGAAATTTGAGGAGTCGTCTCAGGGTGCATGCATTTGAGACCGAACGTGTCGCGTTGAATCGATGCATTTGGCGTTCCATCGCTTCCAGCCTTTCTCTTGTTCTCCGATCCTCTTCCCGTTGTTCCTCCAATTCTCTCTCCAGTTGGGCAATCTATGCTTCATCAACCCCCGGTCGAGAAGATGAACTAGCTCCTCTGGAGGTGTGCAAAATCTGCACACCTTCAGCACCCATGCACGGAACCCGGCCCTTGTAAATACCGGCAACCGCCAGAATTGCCTCATCATCCTGACTCTCATCGAGTTCGGCATCCGAGTCACTCAGCTCAGCATGTTTCTTCTCCAATTCTGACTGATACTTCGCCTACGTGTTAAAAAATTTTATTATAGTTAAGATCAAATTTATTTCGAAATTTATTGAATAATTGAAGTTACGTTATTTACTTCAAGTTCGAAGATGCAAGGTGGTGGCAACTCGTCGCCCTTCATCCAACAATGTTTAATCAAGTCCCACGTCGTGACCTTCTTTTTCACGTGTCCCAATTTTTCTTGCACGGTTTTCAAATTACTTAAAAATAATTTTATATATATATATATATATATGAAGGGTTTAATGGTACCAAGTTTTCATGAATTAGAGTTTACCAAATCTTTTCTATGCTTATCCTGGGGTTTGCGCCCCGCGCGCCATTGTGTCTCCTTGGCTTTGTTGGAATTCCGGTTTTGCTTACCGGTTTCGCTTCTTTTCAAAAAATCCAGATCCGAAGCCCAATGACGAACAAGGTTGTTCCAAACTTCATCGGAAAGGAATCCAAACTTTTTATCGGTATCTCGGGCGGTCCTAAAAGTGGGTCTCATCCACTTCGAGATCCTTGAATTATATGCTCTCAGGATATCATCTTCTTGTGATTTATTCCATCGATGTTGACCCTTTATTAAAAAAATTATATAGCATTTGTCAAATTTAAGTTACTAAATTTACGCCAAGAAAAATCATTTAATTTTTCCTGGGGTCAACCTTCGTGTAAGTCCCCCAATCCCCAGTGAAATGTCCGCCAACTATAAGTTTGATTCGGTCCAACACGTCCTTATCGCTTCAAAAAATTCATCATTGATAAAAATATTTATGTCAATTTATAGAAGTTTCGGTTACGTTATTTGAAATTAGAAAAAGTTCGTAATTAATTATCAATTAACCATTTCAGGTGTTACCAAAAACGGTGAGGAATGGTCTCACCAATGTACAGTTGGCGAGCCCATTTCTTTCGAAGGGACGAAGAGTCCCCGCCTGCATTACCTCCATAAATGAAATTGATGTCATGGCGCCTCTTGTCCCGCTTCGGCCCTGGCTCATCTAAGGCTTTCTCGTCACTCTCATTTCCAAATGTGTCTTTTCTCTGCCCTTCAGGTCTCCTGCTGCGTGCACGCCACTTGTTCTGAAGATTTCCGCCATACGTGGTTGGGCTCCTGCGTAGCTCCTTTGACGAAGTTACTCAAATAACCCCTTTGGATCAGCCTTTCAATCTCTCGCTTCAAGGTAAAGCACTCCTCCGTGTCGTGATTATCAACCCGGTGATAGCGACAATACTTTTTAGCACCGGAGACAACGTACACTTCACTCTCCAGCCTCGGTCCTTGCATGAGACCCGTACACTCGGCATAGTCCAAGATCATGCCCACAAGATGAGTTATGGGCATCGGGCTTGTATTAGCAATATGCCTTGGACCATAATTGAAATCCTTCTTGTTTTTCTTTAGCTTTTTGTGGTGAGGGGTAGACCCTTCCCTCCAAGGTTCCGATGATTCGTCCTTCTTCTCTTGCACCTCTCGAATCTCCGCATCGGCGTATCGGTCGGCTCTCTGAAGGGCTGCATGGTACGACCTTGGCGGGTCCCGAATGAGACTTGAGGCGAACTCCCTAGCTCGTAACGCTGCCTGGAACATGGCAAGGCGAGTTTGGTCATCCGCCCCATGCACGAAAGCAGACTCCTTCCTCCACCGTATCACGAAATCTTTTAAGTCCTCGCTCTTCTTCTGCTTCGCGGTCATGAGGTGTGAGTAGTGTTGTTTGGTTCTTTTGCTCGGGGCAAAGTGTTGAAGAAACCTTTGTGCTAAGTCCTCCCATTCATCAATCGAGCCATGGGGGAGAGAATTGAACCACTCACACGCAGTTCCCTCCAACGTAGCTAGGAAACACCGACAAATTATTTCCTCTGACGTCCCAATCATAATCATATTAGCATAATAACGTGACAAATGTTCCTGGGGATCTGAGGTTCCCGAATAGGCCTTGACATGGGGCACCTTGAAGCCAATTGGTAATGGGTACGCCATGATCCATGTGGTGAACGGGGTCACCGTCTTCAGTTTAGCGTCTGTGTGTCCATCTCCTGCATCTGCATGTTGCTGCAGGTCCTCAATTTTTCTCCATAGCTTCCTCACCTCCACATCATTCAGATCATTCTTCGTTTGGTCTACGTGTATCGTCACATGTTTCTTGCCACCGTCCTCTACTTCTGCGTTCCTCGGTCTTTGTGAACGTTTTTCAGTCCCACCGACATGCTCAGTCATGTGTCCAAGTCAAGTGTCCAAGTGAATGGTGACTACAGTCACATGAGTGACTCTGGGAACTCGTGCACGCTCCTCCTCATCATGGTCGCGTCGTCCACGGCGGTTTTGTGTATCCCTTTCTTTCTCTACATAGTGTGATCGTCCGAGACGATCTTTAGCAGAGCGTTGTCGGTCTCCCAACTTGCTAAACCCCGAGGTTTCACTTCGAGCTGGTTGGTTCGAAGGGACAGGGATCCCTCATCCCTCTCTTCTTTCTCCATCTTTTTGAGATGGCGCTGGTGATGTCACTTCCATCTCCACCACCGGATGATTAGTTGGAGCTTGAGTTCCATGTGGTTGAGGAGGCTTTTGAGTGCCAGGAATTGCACGGCGTACGTCCTTCGCAAGAGTACCCAACATCTTGGTCATTCCTAGAATGGCAGCATGGATACCAGGCACTTCTACGGGAACCACCACAGGGCGACTGAGTCGGTTACGAAGGTCCTGACCCGATGAGTTGGACGCAGTGTGCATCGGCGGGTACATCCTTCTCAGCCTTGGTAATAGCCATTGTTACAGCGTCTGAAATTGCCTGAATGTATTTTTGCCTCTCAACGAGAG